TTTATAAAAAAAAAAAAAAAAAAAGGTTTATATCAGCAGTAAATAATTTTGTCATAATTCGTTGGATTCTTTCATTACATGTGGAAATTTATAATAACATTCATAATCAATAACAATAAACATTAAAATACAAATTATGAATATATGAACATAAACATGTGACTTTAAATATAATTAGCTCATGATATTATCCATTTATAGATTAATTCATTAACGGTAATTTTTATTTCTGTTTCTCAGCGCTACAGAATAAATTTTGCTTACTAGCTAGAACTTTAAATTTTGTAGATTTTAAAGATTTAAATTGTATAAAATCCAGACCTAATTTTAAAAACATATAAGATTAACAGTATTTAATATATAAACTCAGGATCTAATAATTTCCATAAGAGATAAAGCTATATTCATAATCAAGAAATTATGAAAAACTTAAACTTTTTTGATTGTGGTTGAATTCACTGATTTATGTATACATTTTATATTTATAAATATTGAAAAGTTTCAAAAAAAGTTATTAATCATTTATTTTTTTTTTCTTCGGAAATTTAATATACTTTTTTGCATTACTTCATTTCTTAATAGGAATAATTGCACTTCGAATTAATCTCTTCCTTCCTTTTTTACATTTTTCTAAAACTAATAATTTAAATAAAAGCTTAAGATCGATCAGAATTAAAAATTACAATTCTGCTATTGATATTAGTTACTTACTTAGACTCAAATAATTTTATTCGTAAATTATGAAATTCAGGGACTTATAAATGTTAATTTTTTTTTTCTTTATTTGTAATTTTGGAGATAGAAGAGCTTAACTTACCGAACTGACTCCTCATCCAGGGATATAGTGGACTGGGCATATTTCCACCTTGAGGAGGTTGAACTTGTTGCTGTTGCTGAACTTGCTGATTGGGTGGGGGTCCACCATGATTCTGATACATCTGAGGGGGCTGTTGTGGAGATTGAACCGGACTTTGGCACGGGGGCATGTTATTGGGCGGTGGAGGGGGCGGCGGCCCGCATTCCGAATTCACCTGTCGGTGGACCACCCCATTTGGGTCATGACCTAGACCTTGTTGGTGGGGAGGTCCATGCGGAACCGGTTGAGGTTGCATTTTACAGCTAGGATATTGAGCTGGTGACATGTTAGGATGTTGTGAACCATTTGGATCATGATGAGGGGACCCCCGACAATTATTTTGACCATCCTGTGGTACATATGCATTTGGATGGTTCATTGGTGCGTGTTGTGGTGGTTGGTGTGCAGGTTGAGGTAGGGGAGGCCCCGGTGGTGCTTGATTACACGGGTTCCCATAATACTGACCCGGCGGGCTTGGTGAATTTGGCGATGATGTGATGGGACGTATCTCGAGTCTGTCGTATGGGGGAAATCGAGGATACGTCGCCCCTTGTACAGGAGACGATGCGTATTGCGGCTGTATATATTGTCTCTGGCCTTGATCGCACATATCACCATTTGGTTGGTTATGCACCGGTTGTCCATTGTACTGTTCAACACCTCCTGGACTCCGGAGGTCTGGTATATAAGAATTAGTATAGTATGAACTCATATTATGATCCTGTTCTGTTGTTACGTATACAGGTGACCAGTTCTTAAATAGAGCTTCGGTCGCTTGCGGGCACTGCGATGAAGTCGTGGGATTCGCCGTCTTGAAGCTGGAGAGCCACTCGAGGGTCTAAAAACATTCAAGCCTGGAAAAGAAATTAAATAGAATAAATAGCCTGTAAAGGAAAATAAATAATAAAAACTATTGGTGAAATTTTTCACCATAGGCAAACTGTTGGTTCGTTACTTTAACATCAAAATATGTCTGTTAGTTTATGTTCGATGCGTCAAGCCTCCATAATTTATGAAGGCATTACATGTTAGACTGTGTTTTAAATATATTGTAGATCTATGTCTAATTCGTACACACTAAAAAAAACCTTATAATGTGCTAGATTGAACCACACTATAAAAAGTGAATTCTCAAATTTCACGAAACTTTCTTCAGTTTTCTCAATAGTAATTTTATATATTGTCATTCTACTTTTTTCCAAAAAAGTAATAAATAAATAAAAAACTAGTAGAGTCTAATGTATCTAACGTTTCTAATAATCACTTTGTCGTGGGCAGCAAATAGCTGGGTCAATGTCACCATAGCACAAGAAGGACAAATGGAACAGAGAGAAAAATTGCGTCCAGGCACAAAGCGGGGTTCGAACCCCGCGGTATAGTGGTCCTCGAATTAGAAATACCCCGCGGGGTTCGAACCCCGTGGGGTATTTCTAATTCGAGGACCACTATACAGTCCTAAAGGCTCTTTTCGTCACTTGATTTTCGATCATCTAGTCTTCCCCCTAGTTTCGTCATTAAAGTTAACAATATCCCACAATGCACTACGATGAGGTTAAGAGTTGAAGAAACAATTTCGTCTCATAATATAGAGTTCCCGTTCCGTCACAAATTACGTGATTTCGTGACGAAACAATTTTCAAAATTTGCGAAGTATAGCTCAAAGATTGTTGAATCGTCAAAAGTGAGAGTTTTATTACTGAGAATGATTGTTTCCGTTCAGGTTAAACCATACTGTCGTGAAATCAAGTTTAAGAAGTACTGCATTAAAGTACAAGTTATCAACATAATAAAGTTGCAGCGAAGTTGAACGACAATATGGTTCTAAATGCTCAAAAATTTGTAGGTAGGTAGGTCTGTTATTTACGTCACACTTGAGCTGCACTATGGGCTATTGGTGACCGCCTGGGAAATATCCTTGAAGATGATCCGAAGACATGCCATAGTAATTTTGATCCTCTGCAGAGTAGATGTCTCCCCTACTTTGATAGTCGAGCACTTTTCGGTAGAACAGTTAAAGAGAACCGATACCACGCACTCTCAGTCCCTACTCATCCTGATCAAAGTAGTCACCCACCAGCTTACTGACTGCAACCAGTAATGCTTCACTTCGGTGTTCAACTGGGAACCGAGTCTTAACGATCAGTCCACTGAGGGTTCAAAAATTTGTAAAAGACTAGGAAAGGGTAAGGATATTCGAAGGTTGTTTTTGATATTAAAAATCTTGTTTAGTTTAACTAAATAAATGACTGCCGTGAAACAATATTTTTGCTTTACTAAATAAAGAGGAGTTATTATTTTTGAAAATTTAAATTTAAACAAAGCTTCGTGTGTTGAAAAAATAAATTTCTTGCAGCATTTTACTGAAATAATTACTCCAAGTTTGCTTTTAGAACTAATTTTTCCTACACAAAAAAAGTATGATTAGCTTGAAATTATTTGCTGATTAGTTTGAAATTATCAAATTAATTTTAGTCATTGAAAGAGTTATGTATCATCTCTATTTAAAAAGCACCGTGTCTCCAATTTATGACTAGCCTATTTAAGAAATTAAGCATATTTTGTTTGCCAACAGAAATAAGATCGGTTTCTAAAAGCGATAATGACACTTGGATTGACTATGGAATTCTTTTCAATTTTCATCAAATGCATTGAAAATGAATATAAGTCCTCATAGATATCTTGGTGAAAGCCGCTACTTTCTATCAATACTATACCACACAAATCTGACTAATAGTATTTTAAAGTTAAACGCATAAACTACGAGAAAAGATGGGGAAGAAAAAAAAAGGGAAGATGTATACAGAAATATGAATGACATTTTTAAAGGTTTTCAAGTACAATGTAATCCATACCGGAAACTTTTGACGTACATAAATACTACTGTAAAATGTTGTCACTACCATTGAACAGTAATGTACCATTGAACAGTACAAGAAATGTAATCTGGATTAATACAAATAGAAGGCCATAGTAGTTTTAATTTCATCTTCTATGACGTTTTCTAACATATTTTACTTGATTTTGACAATGTGTGACGGGCTCAGAGTTTGATTACTAGGATCTTCTTTACTCCAACTATTTTTTCAGCAGTAAATACTGTAAAAATTAATTTAACGATAAAAGTACTGGTCGGTAACCTGAGTAAAGCAATAAAGTAAAATTCTGCAATACCTCATTATAGACAACACTAATGATCGAAGAATTGGTGACACGAATTTTTGTTTACAGTATAATAAAGTCAATGAGATTGAGATTAGTCAAATGTCAATGAGATTGTTTTCAAATGAAAAATTAAATGAAACTGTTCACTGCAGCATAAATTTTTATAAATTTTTATTAGATACTAGGATGATTTAGAAATAATCTACAATAAAGTTTCGATTACATTAGTTTTTACAATGTTTACTAGAATACGAGTGGTGCTTTGTAGCACTAATTTTTCTTTATTTACAGATGCACATCGTTTGTATATGGCTAAAATTAATAGAAATTAACAAATTGTTTTAGTTCAAGTAGTTGTATTTTGCCAAGGAATTTAAATCAAATAAATTAAAAGAAAATATTTAAAAGAATGCCGTAATGACATTAGTCGGATTATTATTTTTTTTTTAAATTTTAAAACCCCTATTAAAACTATTATTAAGTACGTTGACGATTTAAAAATAAATATAATAACGTATTATAACGTATTTGATTTAAAGGTGTTTGTCATTAATCTTGAGAATTAAATATTTTGAAAAATAAATAACTCAAAGACAACTACAACTATAACTAATCAATACGAACTATACTATCTTTTAGTAGCTAAGTATTAGATTATAGGCTTAGTGTATAATCTACAACTTTTAAATACAATGCTGTCATTATGATTAACGATAAATACTCAACCTTATGACATATTTTTAGCAGCATGTAATTAAATTGACATTAAATTTAAAGTTAATTGTTACTTTTCAAGCGAACTTTTTTCAAAAAATAAAAAAAAGCCTTAATGAATAATTTTTTGCTTATTTTCTAATGCGATGAATAATTAATTTTAATTCAAGATAATGACCTTTAATATATCTAACATACAAAGATAATAAATTATTGATTGGTCCTTGGAAAATGATGTCTGGGAATAAAATGAGTTCAAAAAATTCTCCATTTTAAGTGAATGATAAGCTTATATGTACATGTATTAAATATGATAATGCAATGAGCATAATTAACAAATTGCAAAAAATGCCCGGTTTTTGATAATAGTTAATCAGGAGCTTGGAAATAAAAATAAAATAAAAAGAATACAAAGTTGCTTTCAGAGCAAGTTTAAGTTTCTAATGTAATTGTAGTAATCTTCAGTTACTACATTCAGATTAGTTTAAATTATTTTTTGAGTTTCTTATTTCGTGTTACCCAGAAAATGAACTTCACAAAAAAAAAAAATCAATTGAGAAAGAAAGACGTAAGTTTCAAATACGCAGCTATAAGGAAAATTGTAAAATTCACAGCATAAACATATGTTTTGAATAAACATCAAGCAACTATCTTGTATATATTGTGAGATTTAATATCAACATGGAATGCGATACTCTATTCCTCAAAGTACTTAATTTTAATGCTTGCAAAATAAAAATATTTAAAAAAAATAATAACCTTATTTTTAGAGATAATTTTATCGCATAGTTTCTAAATCTAGACTAATAAGTTTAACAAAAAGTTCTCCAAACGTTAGACTGACTAATGTACTTGGGAAGCATTGGACCACGGAAAGCTACAGACTTTTTTACTTCTTTTAGCCATACTACCTCTAAAGCCCTCTAATGAAAGTTCCGCTTATGGTACAGGGGTCAAAAATTTCATCGTCCTCTGAGTTTGGATCCGAAATTTTGGATTGCGGAAGTTTAAAGTAAGAGTTTATTTTACTGATTGATAGTTTATCATCCGGATAGTTATATTTATAAACTGAATGACTTCTTAATAGTTTGCTTCGGAAAAAGCTAATAATTCTAATTAAATCCGATTAATCTAAAATTCTATCAATAGGTTTTCAAAAGTAAGTCAAAAAACATATATCGTAATAAAGATGATTCAAAATATTATCATAAGACTCGTATTATAAAATATGATTCACAAGTTTGCACGAATTTATTTTATTTGTTTATTTGGTTGTTTATAACAGGCTAAGCACTATTATTAATAAAAATAATTGGTTTGGATCATTAAGCGTACAAATGAACTTAACTTTAAGTTATAAAGAGATACTTTTGGTAATTTATTTAAACATAGCAACTAAGTAAATAACAGGTACATTCAAAAAATGCATGAAACTCAAACAAACAATAGATGAAAAAATAAACTAAATTTTAAAGAAAAACACAATTTAAACTTGAATAAATATGACATAGCAGTTGAACAAGATCAAATTTTAACATAATTTGTTATTCACATACTTACGGCTATAAACACTAAGTTACATTTATTCATTCAAATGAAAGGTGTCTAAAATCTATGGAAAAGTAATTAGTGATAGATCTCAAATCGATATTCCTAAATTAAACTATCACTTAACCACGCTCCATCTCAACCAAATGCACTACAATGCGTTAGGCTAGCAAATAAAACCAGCGTTTTGTATAACATTTGAGAAGACTCAAAATTAATTAAGATCTTCACATATTTTTCTGCTCATTATAACTAGCATTCTCTATGTCATAACTAAGAAACTTCCATCAAGTTCATTTGAAAATTAAACTTGAATGAAATTGATTAAAATTAAAAATAAATTATTCAATTAGTTGAAAGGAGTGCAAACAGCATAGGCAATTCTAAGAAATAATAATTTGAACATTCTCAATTAAATAAAATCTTATTT